TGAGAACAAGTTTCATTATAGAAAAAATGATGTGTATAACCTAAAGGTTAAATCAAAAGGAGAGGCCAACGCCCAAAAATCTGGTCGTGACCTCATAATGTTTTTATTCCCACCCTTACGATAACTATCACAGATTCGTTCTATTTGATTATTTATTTATTCAAATGGTTTATAGGATTTTGTTAGGAAAAGAAACATATAAAAAAATTAATATTTAGTTCAATTTTAATGCAATAATTAAATTTAATGGTATGATATTAATTAGAATTTTATTTTAAATAAATTAATTCATTATAAGTATGTACTTCTGTACAGTCATTCACAAATTCTGACTTAAATGGCGGGCTTACATGGTCGAAATTTCGGAATTTGGGAACTTAGTATTTAATTCTATTCTATAAATAAATATTTGATCGAATAAGAAATGTAATAATCATACCTAAATGTTTCTCAGAGGTCAGAGAGGCCCGTGCCAGTTCCCCTTTTCAGGCCTCCCAGTATATTAATAGAATACAGCGTTCAAAAAGTACATTACACTTATTTCATATTGCAAAATTTGGCAAAAAATAGTTTTTATTGCTTAATAAACAAGCAATAATGAATGAGATTTCTTGAATGTGAGATGGTTTCTCTCACGTGATGGGCCTGATCGATCTAGACTTTAATATCTTATTGAGATATCAAAACTTTCTACTTAAAATAATAAAAAAAATAATTATATCGAAGTTTGATTAGCATTTTGATTGAGATCTAGCACATTGATATGTGAAGTTCTTGGGGCAAGAACACGTTAATTCATTCGCTTTGTCGAACATTGTTGAGTTTCTACAAACGATGAAACTTCTTCTAGACTATTAACCTGTCAATCTGCGCTAAAGTACAGGACAAATTCGAAACATGTTAACTCATTTTTTCGTCCAAAGGATTGTATAAATTACGCAAACGTACTCCAGAATGATATCTGTGGCACCTGTATAGCTACTGTTTGCACTTTTCAAGTACTTTCATCATCTAAATTGAATACAGAAAAGAATAAATTGTGTAGTGTAATAGGTCTATCACGTGATACTCTTCTAGATTCAGAAGTGGCGAACGTATGGCACGCGTACCCAAAGGGCACGTCGGAAGAAATCCTCTGACACGTTATGTATCACAGGATTTCGATTTAGCATCTGGTTTTTTCAATTATCTTTTCGATTTATTATCCGATCATCCTTTTTTTCAATCAGCTTTTTTACATTTATTCTAATTAAAGCATACGCATTTCATTTCATTAAATATAGTTACTCTAAGAGCCAAAACATAAACATGGCACGCGGATTCAAAAACGTTTGCCATTTCCGCTCTAGATGTTTTATTCCTTTTCATTGTACAAAGTACATTATAAATTTTCTCAGTCGCTGTGTTTCTATTTTCGAATTAATTATCATAATGTCAAAATAATTAATTAATTTCAGCATCTAGTATAAGTCTCCTTGAACGAATGGTATGCTATCGACATTTTATTTTTTCAATACCTTTACAGATTGTTTATATAACAGAAGGTTATTTATACAAATGCCGTAAGTAGGCGGAGAAAATTTATGTTTATTATATTCATTAACGGGCTGTCCGTTAATTGCGTATATAGTTTTTGAGCCACTTTTGATTCCCTCTCTTCTCGTTGTGTACACTGTTGTTACTTTTGGCAATCCCCTTTAATTACGTAGTTCAAGGACTCTCTGATATTAAAGTAGCAAGAACAAATTTGAACGCCACTAATACCTTGGATCAGGGGCATACGAAGTCTGTTCAAAAAGTATCGAACTTTTATTTTTTCTGCGTAAACCAATGATGCGCGNGACCAATCGGTATTCATTAATTTACGTCGCTTCTTCTTGTGTTTGTTCTGTTGGGTGTTTGTTATCCGATCATGTGTTCGTTGTCCGAACATAAAAATCTTTCGCGAAAGTGTTCGTTATCCGATTTGTTCGTTATGCGATCTGTTCGTTAACCGATCACCCACTGTATACCAAGGAGACTATTTTGAAGAGGGTTAGGGTTTTGTACCTCAAAATCAATAAATGTATTTTTGCCGACCAAAGGTCCGATACTTTTTGGTACCTCTTATTTTCGGGATGCGCAGGGCGCAGCTGCAATTCCCCTTTTTCCCTTTTTCTCCTATTAAAGCCGGGTAGCCGGGTATTTCGGGTAATAAAAAATTTTATAAAGTATCTTTTGCACCTCCCTCTAAAGATCTCCGGATCCTCCATTACCTAGGGTTGCCAGATTTCTACAATTGGATGGAAGGTTAGACACGTGAAGAAAACCCGGAAAACTCCACGTGGCCAGCCGGTTGACTAGACACAAACCCACAACCAACTACATTTTCAATGGTTTTATTTACTAGGTCTCAGGTGGACACGGGGAATGTTGGAGGTTGAACCATCTTTGCCATAGACAACACTACCAAGAATTTACATACATAAAATTATCCATGCCCAATAAATATTACTGATTAAATTTTACATTTGGTTTATGTTAAAGCCGCTTTACCAGCAAACGCGCCATTACTCCACTTATATATAAAAAAAAATTTTATTTTAATCCAGCAACGAGTTGAGCAACTTTCCCGGCTGTTATAAAATTTTATTTTAAAAAATAATCTTTTTATATTATTAATCTTAATAAATACAATTGCGTGTGACGTCATCTATTATGCTTCTATTATTAAAAATTTTTATATTATTAATTATTATAAAATGGCAAAAAGCTTAATTTTCAGAGTAGGAATGAGTTTATAAAAAATCCCTTTCAATATTATATACTATATTATGAAATGTTATATTATATTTCCCTTAAGAGATCAATACCGACCCCGTTGGAAACCCCAATGGATAAAATCACTAAACAACGATAGGCGGTCGTGGGTTCGAGCACCGCCACCGTGCCGAATATGCGGAGTTTTCTGTGTTTTCACTACGTTAGTAACGGTTGGTAACGACTTACCTTAATTTTTTCATCGTTGTTTTATTAGTAAGTCAACAATTTTGCTATTAAGATCATCTTATTCTATCGAAAATATTCTATAATTTTGTAGCAACAATAACACGAATATGCTGTTATAAAGCTAAATAGGGTAAGTTGAAATTCACGATCACTATTGGAATAAGGAATTAACACTTACAAGTTACACAGAATTTAAAGAGATTTATGCCAAAGTTAAATACTTAATTCTCCTAACATTAATTACTTTTGTAATTTTTGCTTTTATTGGCATGTTTTCATTCCTTATTATTCAGTTCAAAGGAACAAGCAGCTCTTCGCTTGCCCTTCGTCATTTCCAGACGAACGACAACCCAGAACTCACCACGTGGAGGTGGCTGCTTCAGAGTTCCACCAAGAGTTGGAAAGAATGAAACTCTCACAAGTGATTCGAATTACTTGTCGAGTTTCATTCTTCCTAACTCACACAATAAATATTTATAATTACCTCTGATTACTTTAAATTGTAATATTCTAAACTCACAGTATGTGAGTTTAGAATATTGAATAGCTTCTTTCTTCGCCCCTAGTGGGCTTTAAAAAAGCGGGAATCAGAGAGCTCTCTGCCTTCCCGTCGATGGCTTCTTTCTTCGCCCCTAGTGGGCTTTAAAAAAGCGGGAATCAGAGAGCTCTCTGCCTTCCCGTCGATGGCTTCTTTCTTCGCCCCTAGTGGGCTTTAAAAAAGCGGGAATCAGAGAGCTCTCTGCCTTCCCGTCGATGGCTTCTTTCTTCGCCCCTAGTGGGCTTTAAAAAAGCGGGAATCAGAGAGCTCTCTGCCTTCCCGTCGATGGCTTCTTTCTTCGCCCCTAGTGGGCTTTAAAAAAGCGGGAATCAGAGAGCTCTCTGCCTTCCCGTCGATGGTTTTTTTCTTCGCCCCTAGTGGGCTTTAAAAAAGCGGGAATCAGAGAGCTCTCTGCTTTATCTTTTAAAGCCCTAGTGGGCTTTAAAAGATAAGTCTTCGTAGATAAGTGTAGATGGGTCTTCGTAGATAAGTGGCCCAATGATCATTGAGTATTTGTGGAGCCACATAAGACATTTATTTTTACCGTCTGAAATCGGGAGCGGCACTTAAACGCTGTAGTATTCAGCTGTGGTAAAATATACTATTTTAATGATACTTATTCAAGTAAATTTCAAGTAGATTTCGGCACTTTCTTTCGATGCTAAATATTAATAAAAGTATTAGTAGTTTTAATAACTTATCCCAAGTTATTGTATTTTCAAAGGCAAAGCAAAATTTTCGGATTTTCTGAGATAAAAAAAAATTTTTAGAGGGCGCTTTAGTAGAAATTAATCAGATTTCAACACGATTGTTGCAATGTAAGTTATCATTTCGTCTATTAAGTATATTATCGAGGTAAGTTTATAAATATTTTATATTATTTTAGAAAATTAAGATTATCCAATATTAAAAAAAACCATACTTTTGATGGGATGAGGAATATATTAAGCCACAGTATCATAATTTCAAATAAAATTGTGGGTGAAATGTACACGTTTATGAGATTATCACTGTACATACATTAAAAAATATATTACATCATTTAATGTTACAAGAATATTGTGATTTATAAACACGGTTTTGTATGAAAACAATTTTATTTTAAAGATAAAAAAAAATGGAATTTATTGAAATTATATCATTTATTTAACTACTTATTATGTTGTTATCAAGTTAGTATATAAAAATATGAAACTTAATATCATTTCATGTGAGAAATGGATCAATAGGAAAAAAATAATTGATACTATTTGGTATATCAGTAAATGTTACTATTTGGTATATGTTAGTTACAGGATATGTCACAAGTAGTGTGACTACCACTGGATGCAATACTGAATACTGGTATGTGGTTGTGGCCTAGCCAAGTGGAGTTTATATCTGGGGTTTCTGCATGTTTGTAACATTACATAGGGGCTAGTTTCTCCTAGAAAGTCCTTCTGGGAGGCAGATTATAGATGTTGAGAGAATGCCTGCTAGTTGTATAGCTGTATATAAGCAACAAAAAAATCAGTAGTAGTAGGACAATGTTTGAAATGCCTCTACTGTTAAAAGCATTAGTTTTATTGTAGAAGCAAGGCTTTGTTTACATGAATTAGATAATACATAATCAGTCTTTGGATAAGTTTTCATCTTGTGGTTAAACTGTGTAATGCAGTAGACCACCCCTAAAACACAATAGGTACAGTACATTTCGTGTTTTACGAAATTCATGTTGTACGAGTCCTTAAATACATGAGCCAATCACAGCACGGCACGTATGCAGTTTATGGACTACGGCTGTTTGAAAGGTTTTCTTCCATAAAATTAATCGATTCTAGACTAATTTGACTCAACATTTCCAAAACACGTATAATTTTTTGGGAATAATCCATATAAACTATGCTATAAACAAAAAATTGTAGGATTACTTACCGAGTGTGCACCGTTCGACAACGCCATTACTTAAGCTTGTTTTCATCGCGGAGCGGTGCATCAAACGGCAAGTGCGTGTTTCCTGATAAATTATTTTTCTGCGAAAAATTTGCTGAACTTTGGAGACATCATTAATATAAATATAATTTTTATGGCTGTTAAATAATAAATGGTTTTTAGTAGGTCTGCTGCTCGTTTAAACTCAACGGTTTGTGCAATATCTGCTATTGGTCTAGATTCAACCAATCCTGTCGCGACACGAGTTGGCGATGACGTTTTACCGTATTATACAAGTCTCTTTTAGCGTGTTTATACGAATACGGTCACAATTTTTTCACTGTTATATACGAATCTGTATTATATGAACCTGTTTTATAGGAGGGTCTACTGTACCAATGTTGATTGATGCTTAGGGCTATGTTTGAAGCACTACAGCACTTTAAACATTGTCTTACTATTAATGATACATCCTGTAGTTTATAAATAACAAGTTTCTCAAAGCATCTTGGTTGATAAGATATATTAAAATTCAATGTAATTCCAAATTTTTAATATTGAGTTACTTCTACATTTTATTGGTGATGAATTTGACATTCGGAACATGAAGCTGAATATGTTTAAGATTCAACTAATCAACACAAGATAATAATGTCTGATTTTACATTTGTAACAACTTACTGTTGTAAATATCAAATCAGGATTAAATTTTACATAGGTAGTCCTCAATGGCAGCACTTCCGACTGTTTGTGCTCCCAACACTCCTCCTGGAGGGGAGCCGCTGGCAGGCTGCCGATTGTTTAACGTCACTAGTTATTGATTCACGGTAGTTCTTGAACAAAAGAAAAAAAGGAAACATCTACTAAAAATGTAGTTAACCTAACCTAACCTAACCAAAGTGCCACCATTGGGACTACTTAGGTAAACTTTAACCCAAATCAGACCTGCAACTATAAATAAATATTACAATATTTTTGTGAATAGTTTAACTTTTATTTTTTAAATGCTTGTTATACAGGTTAAAATATTTCATGCAAAAGCATCCATCTAGCATTATGATAAAAATCTTATTCCATAGTTTCCTGGTGCTTTGGTTTGTTCCAGAAATTGAAATATGAATTGCTCAATAATACTTATAAAGCACTCTAGAAGTGACATCACAAAATATAAAAATTTGAATAATTAAATCCTGTTAGATGAAAAATGACAAAATATATTTTTATCTCTATATCTTTTTATAAACATTTTGAAAAAGTATAAAGACAAGTACTCTTTTTCTACAAAAAAAATTACTGCCAGTATGCATATATGATGACTGAACGTAGAGAATAGTTTTTGCTGAGCAACTGCTGGCACTGTCTGTATACCAGTATCTTTCAGCTAAAAAATAGCCCTGATTGTTCCAAATTTATTTTGAAAATGTTTTATATTTATTCATATGTTTTGAATAGTATAATTTTTCCTATTGTAGATTTTTTTCACTTCTAGCTGTTTTTCTACACAGAACAGAAGAATTTAAAATAATCAAATAATACAGTTGAGCATACTTTTAGAGAGTTGGTTATTGCATATTATCTGTTATTACAAACTTTTCTATTCCTTTGAATTTGTAGTATACACATTATGTTAAAATGCTCAGGTTTTGCAAAGTTATGAAAGAGGAGTATGGAATACAATGAAATTTCTTCAAGAAAAAGGATTTAGATACCATTTGTAACCCTATTGAACATTTTCCCTCAGGTATGACATCGAGTTCCTTCTCAAGCAAACTTTTAAATCTTTGACTCAAGAAAATGCATGGTACTATTTGTAAAAAACTGACCAGAAATGTCCCACTTGGTTACATTTAGTGCATATTGCTCACATTTTTTAGTTTACTTTTAGGCAGGTCATATATATCCTTCCTATTTATTATTAAAGTCCTTGCTGTGCTATATGTTGATATATGTATCTGTCATCATTTGGGTTTTGAATAATGTCATCTATATTAAAATGAAAAGCTTTGTATTTGAAGACAGCAATAGAAATGATTAAGTTGGTTGATGAAGGAATAATGAAGATATTTTAAATTTCCTTTGAATATTTCAGCAATTTTACATTCTATCATGCTTAAGAATGGACGTGAACTGCTGGAGAAGTTCTATAACACCTTTAAGAAACTATTTGATTTTTCAATGTCTGTGTGAATGATCCCTTGGATGGTTTAAGTTTCAGAAGCAGAAATATATTAATTAATGGACTAGTTTTAAAAAATTTTGGAAAGTTTTTGATCCTGGAAATGGATGGCTTCAGTGCTTCAAAGACAGGCATGGAATAATTCTCAAATAATAATTCGAATATAAATAAGAATAATTCAAAAATAAGTGTGCAGAAAATGGAGATACTGTGAGTATATTAATAATAATAAAAGCCTGCAATTTTTGTCCAATCCAAATGAAATTTTGGTTATATTTGTTTTTTGTTCTGATGGAAAGTATAGGCTACTTATTTTGTGGAAATATTAGCCATACTTATGTTGCAGTGACGTCAGTGATGTCATTGAGTTCATGTTTGATGATGGAATTTCCATTAAGTTGCATTTTAAAATAATTGTCAAATGGCATATTTTAAACTTACTACGTTAAATTTAAAATTTAAAAAAAGATAGCCGCGTCGTGTCACTTCTACAAGTAAAAAATCTTTTTATAGTGACCATGTGACATTCTATTATCGAATCATAAGTAATGATCTAATGATCCTGTTATTTAAAATGTATTATTGTGCATTAACTATTCCTCCATGGCAGTATAGGCTACTTAATTTGTAGAAACATTAGCTACCCTTTTTGAATTTCTTGAAATCTGTACTCTTCTCAATATTTCAGTCTCTACTTTCTCATAGAAAGTAGTCTGTCATGCTTAGCGGGAGAATTTCTAGTTTTAGAAGAAAAGCTGAAGTGAAGTAGACCTTGCATTCACTAGCAAATTTCCTAGGAATTTTGAAATTTGTGAAATTCTGACTTGAAAAAATTTCACTTGAGTTAACTTAGACTCAATATTTCCCAATGCCATACATACAGGTGTTTCCCAATTTAAGAATAATTGTTACAACAAAGGTGAATGATATCTTTTGCTATTGTTAGTAATATGGCCAATGGCTCACTCACACACACACACAGGTTGGCTGCGTTTCTTTATGCAGTGCTCGAGAAGCACTTTACAGCGAATACTCTGAAACCCATTTCTAAATGCAGCGCTACAATGTTGTGAATCGTTTCTAAATGTTTGCTGCAACAAAGGTAAAGTATCTTTTATGTCCGCTACATGTGTAAAGTAAAATGGATGCTTGTATGTATAATATGATATTATGCTGTAAAAATAAAAAAACAAAGTGACTGTTAATAAAAATATTATGGAAAGGTTAAGAAGGATTAAATTTTATGAAATGACTCTGAAAGTTACCTAAAGAATAAAAAAATATTATAGTTTAAATATAATTATATATCTCCTCTCTCTTTACTTTGTTCACATTTTTGGAAAGATAAATGCTTAGTTGTTTATATCTCTTTATTTAAATATTGTAGTTCTTTGACTAAAGCATGTCTTTTGTCTGTAACTGGAATTAAAGGATAGATTACAGCATCCATGTTTTGCTCGAGCAGAAAGCATTTCTAAACTATGATGCAGCGATGTGTAGTGATATCTGCTTGTGACATCGTTTTTGCTACACTCTTGCTGCATAAAGAAATGTGGCCATTGCTAGATTATGCAAAATGTTGGGAATTGGGCTACTTTTTGAGTGGTCCAAATGATAAATGTTTGCTACGTTTTGGACTACTGTTTTTTTTTTCTGATGAATAGATGATAAGTATCGGATTTTAATGAAACTACAGATAGGTGAAAGCTTATTAACAATAAGTAATTGTACTAGTGTATATTAGTTGTTTTATTTTGTTGACTGTTTTTATTTTATGAAGTAATAAAAGTTTCCAAAAGTTCTTTCTACTATTATCTAGAAGCAGCATTAATACATGGTGGAATATATTCATTGAAGGTCATGTAGTACGGGTGGCTTCAAGTCTGCATTTAACATTATACTGTTATATTTAATTCAGTTACCTGTTTTAATTTATTTTCATTTTACTTATTTTATTAATTTTTTTATATAATTATAACTTTCTGTATACAACTTTTGTAATGTCCATTAAGATTTCACAGCTTATTATAATCTTATAAAAGAATGAAAATGTTTCTGAATAAAAATTTAATGTAGTTTCCTGAATTAAGCATTTTTTTTCTCATCTTTTTGAGAGAAAATGAACTGTTTATCTTGTTAAATCAGAAATGCAAAAGAAAAAAACACTTTTATCAATCAGCAACACATTAGTCCTTTTTACAATATTGTGGTCCACTTTGACCAGGTCCACTTTGACCAGGTCCACTTCCTACATTGTACCAACCACAAGGAACAACTCAAATATTTGGAACCATTGGAGATTAATAAAGTAACTAGAAGAAATGTGGCAATCAACTTTAGAGGTGAACTCCTCTCTTTCATGGAAGACATTCTATAACATCTAATTTTATATCTGTCTCTTACATCATCCAAATTCATCATGTGGTTGGCAATTACCAATTGAAAGAAGTTCTATTTTTTTTAACTTAGTGTTCCATCATGCTTCATTCCCTTTTTTTGATGGTCTATTATAAGCCTGACAATAACCGTTTAGCACAGGAGAAAAACATTTGTTACCGTAAGTTTTCCTTTTTTGCTGGATTTTGATATTTGTCTTGTTACTTGATCTGTTTTTGGTTGTAGAATTATGCCTTGTTTTACTTGAATAAAGACATATCTTGTTCATGTAAATAAAATTATTTTCTTACATTTTCAAACATTGATATTCCTTACAGAAGGATAATACCAAGTATATTTGGTATTTTTGTTATAGAAGGTATTATTTATGAAATGTTATACTGATTTTGCAATGATTGATGAATTACATCTATCAGTTGACAATTTGTTTTCCATTTTAGAAGATTTAATAATATAATCTATATCTGATCAATAGCCATTATAATAATTTGAATATTTGATTTCTATAACTAATTCCTTAAAACTTCAACTAACATAGATAAGAAAAAAATGAATTTTAAAGTAAATATAGTGAATTTTATAATGCTATTTATTCTGATTCTTATTAGGATAGATTAAATAAAAGTTTGCTATTTTGTTAAAAACAAAAACTTCTCCTAGAAGCAGTTTTTATTTATATTAAATATTCTAAAAGGACTGATGAACTGTGAATTCCTTTTTCTAGCTATAATTATTATTTTATTTTTACATTAGAGGTTGTTGACATCTTATAATCATAAACAGTTTTATTGTTGTTATTTTGATAATTAATCAATCTTATGAGAAAATAATTTATAATTTTGCTAGAAAAACAAAATAATATTACTGTATAATAATTTTTTTCTCATATGTCAATAAATTTTTAAATGAAAAACTGAAATAGTTTAAAGAGAAAATAAAAGTAGTGGTATTAAAAATAAAGTTAACCTATATAAAATTTGATTTATTTACACAGATGTTTAAGGTTTAATAACAGAATATTAAATTCAAAATTTAAAAAGCACATTAAAAAAAAATTATTATACTTATGTATACAGTATATACTGTTAGCTCATCTCTGGTCATCTTCAGTGGACATCGTGGCATTTTGTGTTGTGTTGTTACACTTAATACATTTTTGTTGTAATTTATAACAACTCTCTATAAACAATATTTGCTTTATACATTATAAATATAATAAGTGTTAGTAATACAGAAATATTTTAATGAAAAATATTCAATAATAATCTAAAACAAAATGTCATTTAGTAGGCATGCAATTGCACCACTAATACATAGATGATATCATATGAATTAAATTCCTTTTATGTGTCAATGTGGAGATTGTATTTTTCTCATTACTGTTAAATAATTACAAGGGTCTACAGGTATCAATGCATGGAATCATAAGTTATGTAATGATGTATTTATACTTTTCAACTACCATCTCACCTCCTGTAATGCTCCATAATGTGTTGCATGTACCTATTCTCAAAATTATGTAAAGGATATCCTAGATTGGTCTTCCTTAATTGTACGAAGGAATAATACACAGCACAGGGTTCTAAACATTACATTATTTTATTCATGATGTACAAAGCAGTGATGTAAACAGTAGGGTTTGCTATACAACTCTTTGGAAACAAAAAAGGAATCATTGTTTCCCAAGAGTTGAGATCCTATCATTATATAAAATTTTTGTAAACACTCCCACTCTCTTGTAAGGTATTATAATTATCTGTATATCCATCCATCCGTATCTACATTTCGTAATTTGTGGATAGCTCCTATGTATATAGAACAAAGAATTATATAAATAATTGCATTAAATAGCTATGTACAAGAATGATACTTGAGGTTAGAAAAATTCATATAATTTAAGTATTTTAATTAAAAAATGACTTTTAAAAATTAAATTTTAAAAGCAAAATGGAACTGTACTGCAACAAAACCAGATCATCACCATTATCATCATTGTCTAGAACAGAAATTGTTTTCAAATATAATAAACTTCCTGAAGCCTGATACTTTGATACTCAGCTGAACGATCACTGTAATTAATCAGTCTATATGTTAAATTTTTCATTAGAGGTAGACGTTATGCACCATCTCTTATCTAAATTAATAATTTAGATAGATGGTACCTAATGTCTACCTCTAATGTCAAATTTCTTAATATATAGCCCAATTAATTATGGCACTCATTTGGTTGAGAAATTGTTTTCATCTGAAACAATTATAAACATGAGTCTAATTAGGAAAATATTTAATAGATGTAATATGCATATATTTTGATAATAGTTATGACAAACATAAACAAAAATACTCTGTAGGTACTTGAAACTGTCAATTAAATCTCTGAAGTGAGAGAGAAAAAATAGCAGTATTTTCAATATGCTGATGTGTATGATTGGCAGAATATAGATCTCATGTAATACATAAATGATAGAAACTTTGATTTGATTGGCTGTGGTGACATTTCTTATATATATATACAGTAGAGCATCGATTATCTGACCCCCGATTAACTATCACCTTGGTTAACCGACCGCATTCTAGTCGGCAAATTCAAATGTCTGCTAGTGATGTGGCGCTACAATATTTGGCTATGTCTTGGCTACTTTAATATTATTTTTGTGTTTTAGCTGGCAACATGGATTGACCATGAAAGGTAGCCAGTATTTAAATGAGGCTTAATTTTCTAATTCTTAACGATACAATAGCGACAATTATTATTTAAAAAAAAAATTTTATAGTCTTAGCATGGAGGAAAATTCAACGCAGAGTAGGTTAATAGCGATATACTAATTACATGGGATATACTAATATACTACATTAATAATGGATTTTTTTCATACTTTTCGGTTATCCAACTTTTCAATTATCTGACCAACCCCAGTCCCCAATTGAGTTGGATAATCGATGCTCTACTGTATTTTTGAAAGAACAAAATATTTTACTTTTTCAAGATTTTTGTTTTTTTTATGAATATATTCAATGTCTTTTTTGATTATATTATTTCTTTTTCTGTAAGAAGTCTGTTTCTAGTAGTCACATTCAGTAAGACTAATGTAACTTACATATATATATATAATATAATGTGTTCCTTTTTGAATTTGAAAATGCCGATAGCAACTGATATGAAAATTTGCAAATATTTATTATTCTACACTGAATACTTTTTCTTTGTGTTTATTCTATAAATTTTCATGATTTACTAATATACGTGTAGCCATAAAAACAAATGTGGCTTTGAAATTGTTTGTATCCTTCTACATTTAAAATGTAAAAGAATTTATTCTGTTTATAGTATTCCTTTTAGCTGATGAACTTCAAAATGATGGTCAATAATCTTTCTAATTAAATGGTATTTTTGCTCACCTTTAACAGAGTATATATTTATTTTGCTGTAGACTTTTGTGAACTTTCATGCTAATTGAATATATTTTTCCTGTTCATACAATATTTATCATTAAAATAAATGTTATGTTAAAGCTTAATTTTTATTATCATACTTTTTTAGTTTTGAAATTTTAGTGAATCATCAATTTACTTTCATTATTTTTCAGATTTAAAAAATGCCAAATTGGTATTATGACAAAAGAGAATTAAAATCAACTCCATCCTATGCAGATGGTATTGAATATGAGACTGAACAGAGGTATCGAAGAGAAGGTGCGCGATTTATCATAAATGTTGGTACCAGAATGGGATTGTATCCTTTAAAAATAAATTATTTTTAATGAAAATTTTAAAAATAAATTTCAACAATTATGTTACTTTATAAATGATAATTTGCAATAAGCGTAAAATATGACATAGATAAGAAAACTTATTGCAATATATTATTACTGAGGTAAGTATAAAAATATCAATAATCAGTTTAGTGTATCATTACTATATTATATATTTTAAACTATTATGAAAGTAAATTGTATTTGCTTTATTTATTTTCAAATTTGATAAGTGAAATTATTTGTCTACTGATTACCTCTCTTAATATATTATAGATATATAGAAAAATAAATAGCATTTCTCTATCTTTCATCTGTCATCTCACATTAAGCAAATAATTCATTGTTATATTTAGTTTGTCTTGATTATCTTGGTTATGTATTCAGATGTTATAAAATAATTTTGTATAAATATGCCAAAATTTAAATTCCAGATTGTATCTTCATTAAAAATTAAAAAATATATATTTTAGATTAATAATAGTTGACCACCAATATATATATATATATATATTGGTGGTCAACTATTATTATTAATCTGGTTCCATTGCTAATCTGGTACTAATTTTGGCTAGCATAACTTCAAATTTCTCGGGTTGCCACACCAATCTGCTGCTATTATTTGATGGTGCTGAGCATTGCCAGAAGTATGATAATTACAATATTGTTTTTGTATGCTAATATTTTATTAGGTACAATATATAATAGTACTTGTGTGATAATGACAAATTGTTTATGGTAATTTGACAAGGATTTTCGTCTAACATTTCTTTTTTCTTTGTTAATCAACTTGTACAGATATATGGGGTATTTTAGAGATAGGATGAGGTGGTTAGTTGTTGGGTTAAGCATATTCTAACCTGATCACTTAACAAATACAATCCAGCAAAATCACTAATTCAACATTCTGTAGGTCCCAATAATGCCTGATTAGTAATGGTCAACCTGGACTAAATTTTCTAGAACTTCCTGATTTCAACAAAATGATATTCATAAATCAAAGATAATTGATAATAGCTAGTAGTGATAATCTATACAGTAGAGTCCTAAAATTCTACTGTTATTGTCATTTTATTCAAAAAAAAAATACATGTAATCTAATTTTTTTATCTATAACTTAATACTAGGATCAAATAAGTTATTGTTCTTCACTGGCAACACTTGATAATATCATCAGTTCCTTGTGTTAACAAGGAATTTAACTCTTTTTTTCAAGGTGCCACTGCACAATACTATGACGTGAATGCCACTAACTCAAAAGTAGCCTGTTGATAGTTTTGATATATATAAAACAATACTAATTTTTTTTAATGTTTTCTAAGTTATTTTTAAGTTATTGTTACATTATGTTATGTAAGTTAAGTTTTAGTATCATTTCCCTTCTCTCTCTCTTCCGTCGCCAGTTTACACCTCCACCATTGTCTATCCTCAAAGGTAAAGTGCAAATAAAACTACATTTTGTTTTTATCAATTATTATTCTATTATGGTTACTTATACATTTACAACTACAAAATGCATTTTTAATGTTTTCCTTACTATAGTTATTATTTTTTAATGTACTACTTAGCTTTAATTTGAGCGTGTTTTTCGTGTTGGAACGAATTATTTGGTTTTACATGTAATCGTATGGGGGAAAAAATGATTCACCTTATGACATTTTCATGATACGATCTCAGTTTCGAAACAGATTAATTTCGTATCCTGAGGTACCACTGTACTTTTGTTAACAAAAGAAATTTAAAAAGAGAGCAAATAAAAATGTCAATTAGGAGTTTTTTTTCTGGAAAAATTTCTGTTGTATGAACTGTGTTCAAGTAAATTGTATGAATTTACTCATAATTTAGAATAGATTTATTTTTATTTTTCAAAATTCAATCTGTTGTTATTCTATTATTATATATATTGCAGCTAGATTTTTTTTTACTAGATCATATAATATTATAGTATATGTATTATATATACCTTTATTTTAGAAATTGTAAAATATTTCAACTTTGATCAATTTATTCTTCTAAAAATAAAAAAAAAATGTATAAAACAAAGATATAAACATAAATCAGAAGAATAAAAATAAAATTTTAAGATCAATATTTTATCTTATATGACATAATCTAATTCAATCGAATGTCTCTTGGCAAAACAAAGACTTTATATATACACTACTTAGCTATTGTATTCTGATTTTGATTATTTAAATTTAGCATTTAATGCTATAAATTCAGTTCAAAAAAATTTTTATTTTTACATTTGAGATAAACATTCATTTTTAAATTATTGACATATTTAAAGCTATTATAATTATGACCCTATCAAATTTATTTCTTTCAAAAAAAGATTTTGATATGAGGCTGCCCTTCAATTGTTGTTAACTTCATAACAACATAAATTTATTTTACTTAAAAATTAATTAGTAATATTAACGAATGTAATTTCTAGTTTATTTAATATTTTCTTTGTCACAGTTGACAGTTGTCTTATTCAGAAGTTTTCTCAACTTTAATTGCTATTGATTTTCTACACATTTTTTTTTTTTTAAATAGTTATAACCATTAATTATAATTATTTAACACAATTATCAATCAATTTAAAGTGAGGCAATTATTTGTACTAATTAAGTAATGCATTAAAGAATAAACAGTAAGAATGTGAAAAAATCTATTGAAATGAATTAATTTATTTTGCATTCTTTAGAAATAAAAACGATAACATAAAATTTTTATTAAGTATTTTAAAATGCTGATAGCAATGTTCTATTCCTAGTCTAGTTTGCAGAAACCAAACTGTTCTAATTTTTGAAAATAAATTTTAATTTTCTTCTGATTAATAGTTTATAGTTACTTTATGATCACAAACCGTAAATTTGATTAATAGTTGGATAGTTTTAATGTATTTTTTTCAATTATTTAAGCCAACTTAAAACTGTAACGTATTAATTTTAGATATAATTACTTGATCTCGATATCAGCAATAATTTAAAGCAATAAAAATGCATATTGAAATGATTTTGTATCAGTGTTTAGTATAGATTCTATTAAGAAGATTTAAATCCATATGTTTAATTCTAATTTAAGTCAGTTTTCTTAGTACCATGAGAGCTTGATGCTAAACTTCACATACAAGATTTGCTACGTAGTGTGTTAATTATGAAATATTTAAATGGAAGTGATATACAGAAGAATTACAGAAGAATTTCTGTAATTAAAATGTTCTAATGTTCTTATTTAAAACTATAAAAATACTTTAGGAATAATTTGTTGTTTTATAAGCATAGTGCATACTTTTATTATTAATGCATGAAGAATAAAAAAAATCATAAGTGACGAGGAAAAATGTAAACATTTTTTAAAATGAGAATGATTGAAGAATTGAAATTTTTATTTTCTTTTATTTTTTAAACTTTATCGTCATCAAATTACAAATACACGAATCTTGTACAGTCTGATATTTTGAAATTTGGAATGTTTCAAACCTGCTGTTCTTAATTTGTGGATCAACCACCAAGACAGTGCTGTTAGTAGCATCAAAATTGGCAAGTTTGTTTACATTTGTAGTCAAATGTTTTTGTTATTACAGTCAGATCTTGATTTAATATCACCATTTGTTATTTTCTGAAATTGTCATTAAATTTAACATGGCAATAAACTGAAGTATCACAATAATAGAAATTATACTTGTGTGTAGCAATGAAGTTACACAAACTCAAGTCTGGGAGTTTAAAAGTCACATTTTGGTGATGATCATTGCATGTGCAATGCAAAATTCATACGTTTAATAATTCAAACATACCAAAGAGCTCTTTAATATTTCTGAGGAAAATCTGTTAGTACTTTGGAGGGTGCAATATCAAAATTTGACTAAGTTTAAGAAAATTATTCTTTTGAAGGTTTAAGATTGATTTTCTTCTTTATGGTTTAAATGCTAAATTTGTAAAAGTTTATCTGATGTTTTGTTTTTTACAAACTTTATTTTCCTAGTATGTGTTTTTTCTGAGTACTGTTGCAGTTTCCTGGTTGAAAACCAGTGTTAATCTGCACTAATTATTTAAGTTTTTTCAATAAGTTTGAACTGAAGTATTAAATTGTTTAAAATATCAAATACAAAAATTAATATTTAAATAATTTATAATTTAATATTTAAAATGTTGGAACGAATTATTTGGTTTTACATGTAATCATATGGGGAAAAATGATTCACCTTACGACATTTTCATGATACGATCTCAGTTTCGAAACAGATTAATTTCGTATCCTGAGGTACCACTGTACTTTTGTTAACAAAAGAAATTTAAAAAGAGAGCAAATAAAAATGTCAATTAGGAGTTTTTTTTCTGGAAAAATTTCTGTTGTATGAACTGTGTTCAAGTAAATTGTATGAATTTACTCATAATTTAGAATAGATTTATTTTTATTTTTCAAAATTCAATCTGTTGTTATTCTATTATTATATATATTGCAGCTAGATTTTTTTTTACTAGATCATATAATATTATAGTATATGTATTATATATACCTTTATTTTAGAAATTGTAAAATATTTCAACTTTGATCAATTTATTCTTCTAAAAATAAAAAAAAAAAGTATAAAACAAAGATATA